GGAATCATTCTGCTTGGGGTTGCAGACTTACCTCAGGCTTTAAAAGCCCTCAACTCCCAGGTTTTGAGTTACTAAATCTCCTTATATTACTTGGTTTAGGGCTAGATGGTATTTTTGAACAGTTAAAAACAATTAAATAGTGGGAATTAGGATAAGACTTGTAAATTCAAGCCATAAAGAATTAAAAATATCTAATTTTTTTCAAAATAATATTGCATTTTGGTAATTTGCTATATTTTAAAAAAATAAACAGTTACATTAATTGGATGTTTCAGCTGAAATACTTTTCTTCCTCATCCAGGAGGGGTTTTGCTGCTTTACTGCAAAGTCTGCAGATACTCGAGAACTTGTGGCCCTTGTGTCCATTTGTGGATTGCCACCACCGCGTGGACAAGCATTGGAATTGCAGTTTCAGGACCAGTTCATCCCATCCTAACAGGGAGCTCATTTCCCTAACAAAAAACACCTCTTGAACCAGCTTTGCCAACTGGTGGGACCTGGAGAGTGCAGTCCTCCCAGATCTACAGGACAGCAGTAACAAAGCCCTGCCACACTTCCTCTTCTGCTTGTAAATGTTACTCCCCTGATCTCATCAGTAAGTCTGTTTCATCAAGTAGATACTTTCTGTTACTAAAGATCTCAGCTAAAATACAGTAACAATGAAAAACAGGAATATTTTATATAGTCCTGTAACCTTACACATTCACATGGTAGCTCCATTAACACTTCAACACTTTCAGACGTTTCAGAACACATCACACATCATTTCTAACACTACCACACGCAGTACCCTCCCATTCTGCAGTATTTGTATGAAAAGAAACAAGTTCTTTCTTATTTAAATTTTAGAGCTTCACTCAGTAACTATTTCGATTTCACAACTTGAATGCTCATGACCTGTACCAACACTTACAGGACAGCACTGAGGAAGCAGCAGGTGATTCACTTTCTGCATGTGGAGGCTGACAGCATTAACATAAAACCCCCGCACAGCTCCAGCTGGCTCGGTCTGCCAGGAACTAAACTACACACTGGTCACTACACATAGGCTTGATGCACAGCTGGCATCTAATAGACAACTCAAACAAGACTTTTGGGAGTTCTCCTCAAATTTGGGAAGCAAAGACTTTGTTATATCCGATTTTATTTTTATAAAAATGCTGTGACACGCATGCCAATAGGAAAACTGGTTCTTCTGTATCAAACCACGTCAGTCTTTTTTCTGCTGGGCAGCCTGCTTGGCATTGTTGGCCTGCATCTTCTTCAGACCCTTTTTGTTGTGCTTCTTTGCAAATCTCATGTTCCTCAGAAACTTGGGGTCAACCTATTAAAAAAAGAAAGTAAAAAAGTTTTCCATGCTGTAGAAGGGACACGTGAAAACACAACACATCTCCAGATTGTTTCAATTACTCACAAATGCTGGCTTTTTCGTCATTTAGTACAACAAAAATATTTTAGCCATATGTAACCATCCTTTAAACCAGCCATTGTCCTTAATTTCCATAAGCAAACAAACCCACAGTCACAGCAATAAATATAGATAAGAATAGGACAAGGTGAGTAAAGCTGTGAACAACAAATTCAATTTCCATGTCATAATACATTCTGGATCTGAAGCACCACAACCAACCTTGGCAGGTGAGCACATACACACGTGATCCTTGGGCAAAAACCAATGCCATTTCCTCAAGCCTTTCCTTTTCACATTAAAGGAAAAAGGAGTGACAGGATGGAGAAGAGTTGCTCCCTAGTTTTTGTCAGCTAACGGCTCACTAACACACCCTGCTGTGGCTAGGACCAATTCTCAGAACTATCAGCTACTGTCTCACTGAGAAACATTTGCTATTTTATTGTAAGCAGTGTTTTAATTGGCACAAGTATCAGGATTTTATCACCTTAACTCATGTGCACTGGGTTCAGGAAGATGGGCTCAGAGACAAGCACATCATTCCCAGAAGGGGCAGGACTGAGCCCTCACTGAGCTATGCAGAAAACAGGCTTTTATGTCACATCCAAAAAGCTGATAATCACATCTACAAGAACCACAACCCTTCCCAAAGCAAAAGTGTCACATTTCCTCTTCCAAGTGTGAAAAACCAACCTGTTCCATCACTTGTGTGATCTTGGAAAAAGCCAAATGCTGTCATTCCCATAGGCATTATCCAGAAATGCTCATTCCTCCCATTTTCCAAGCGGAATTCCATAAGTACCCACGGTAAAATAAAACTGAAGGGTACAGAGAAGCAGGAGACACAGCAGGACTCAGAAGGGAGAAGAGATATCCCACTGACACACGTCTGTTCCACTGGGAACAGCAGTGAGTGACACCCACCCGAGCAGGACAGAGACAAAACTGGCCAGATGAAACAGAAACCCACAGGGGTTCTGACCACCTGGAACACTAGGGCCTGTCTGCAAAACAGTGTCATTCAAAATAATAAAAACCCTGGATTTTTTTTTTACGGTTAAGCCTCAATGGTTTAACAGCCTGGGAATATTAACAGAAATACTCACCCCTTTGAGAGATTCGTACCTATGGGATCTGGGTTTCTTGATGCCATTTCTGTGCCACTTACGGGCTACGTGGAAGACAAGAAAACAAGTTAATTTTTCTGTGTCTGCTATTATTAAACAGCTGCATTAGCTTTCCCTTAAGTCCAGCCGACCCTATCAAAATGACGTGGAACAGAAAGTTTTCTAACTCTTCCTATCCAAACTAAACAAATCAAGAACACACTCTGCTCTCATCCCTCTGCACACTGTGCTCTCAACACCAAGAACACACTCTGCTCTCATCCCTCTGCACTGTGCTCTCAGCACTGTAAGTTTTTAATCCAAGGATTTCAGGCTCTTCATTAACTAATAATACATCAATGGCAACCCCACCAGCACAATAAAAAGGCCTCAGTCACTAGGAAATTCAAGCACGAGTGTTCAGTGTTAGAGGGCACCATCGTTCAACTGTGCATGGCCAAGCAAAACTTAACTTACAGCACTGGTGTTGGCTGGTGAGAAGCTCAACGTGAGCCGACAACGTGTGCTTGCAGCCCAGAAGGCCAACCGTATCCTGGGCTGCATCCAAAGCAGCAAGGCCAGCAGGCCGAAGGAGGTGACTCCCTCGCTCTGCTCTTCTCTTGTGAGACCCCACCTGTGCTGTGTGCAGTCCCGGGGCCTCCAGCCTGACAGGGACATGGAGCTACTGGAGCAAGTCTAGAGGATGGGCACGAAGGTGTGTCAGGGAGCTGGAGCACCACCTGTGTAAACAGGCTAAGAGAGTTATGGCGATGCAGCCTGGAGAAGGGAAGGCTTCAGACAGACCTTACAGTGGCCTTCCAGTACCTGAAGGGTCCTCCAGGAACACGGGGGAGGGACCTTTCACAAGGGCAGGTAGTGACAGGAGGAAGGGTAACGGCTTTAAATTGAAAGAGGGTAGATTTAAAAGAATCACAGAATGGTTTCGGTTGGAAAAGACCTTTAAGATCATCGGGTCAAATCCACCACTAGACTGAGTCCCTAAGCACAACTTCTTTTAAACACCTCCAGGGAAGGTGACTCCACCACCTCCCTGGGCAGCCTGTTCTAGCGCTTGACAACCTTTGCAGTAAAGAAGTTCCTCCTAATATCCAACCTAACCCTCCTACCTTGAGGCCATTCTCCCTTGTCCTATCACTAGCTATGAGGGAGAAGGTACCAACCCCAACCTCTCGATAGCCTCCCTTCAGGTAGTTGTAGAAGGCAGTAAGGTCTCCCCTCAGCCTCCTTTTCTCCAGACTAAACAACCCAAGCCCCCCTCAGCCCCAACAATTTGGGATTGTTATCTTGAAACAGGCAACAAACAGTCTTTCTGCTCCGGGGGACAGTGGGAAGGTTAACGTTCCAACACACAGACTGTCATCTCCATACACTGCCATCCCCCTCTGCATAAGGATGAGCAGAAAACTCCTGGAGGCTTTAGGATTGAAGCGCTTGAAACCAAGTATTGAAGGCCCTCTAATACTAGAGTAGACCCAAGACTACCTAAGATATCTAAGACTGGATATTAGGAAGAAATTCTTTACAGTGAGGGTGGTGAGGCACTGGCACAGGTTGCCCAGGGAAGCTGTGGATGCCCCCTCCCTGGCAGTGCTCAAGGCCAGGTTGGATGGGGCTTTGAGCAGCCTGGGCTGGTGGGAGGTGTCTCTGTCCATGGCAGGGGGGTTGGACTGGATGAGCTTTAAGGTCCCTTCCAACCCAAACCAGTCTGCACGTCTAAAAAAACCCCAACAGAACTATTTTATCACTGACAGCAAGGCACCACAGGCTGCATGCCACGCAGTAACGTGCCTGGCTCAAACACACAAAACCTGCTTTTTTCCTGGTTTCATGGTATTTTCATATTGAACCCAAACAAGCCCTGACGCTTGCAGAGTCCCTTTCCCTTACACACACCACTTGGCCTCTGCACATCCCTTCCCTCATGAACTTATCTCTCCACAAAACCAGAAATTTAACATTTAATTAAATCTACCCC